ATGGAGAAGCGCGATCAAGCCGACGAGAGAAAGGTAGGAGTTTTCATTTTATATAGCTGTTTGAGTGAGTCTATGTTCAGCTGTGAGTAGTATAGGCAATTCTGTGAGCGGTGTAGGTAAGACATTCTTGTGAGTGAGTAATCCTTTTCTATGAGAGTCTTTATCTGTCTGATCCTGCGCAGTACGATAAGACGCCAGCACAATGGAGTATTTCACCAGTTCTTCCTGCGAAAGTCATATTTACACCATCAGACATCTGATCCTCGACGACCTAGAAGGTTTATACATAGATGAGATTGTTTTGAGTTGTATTCATGCATGTCATATACGATATACACAAGAAACTGGAAAGTTACAAATGTTTCTAGGCGCTACTTGAGTAAAAGTAAGCGTGAGAACTGAATTGAAGCAGTTCGAAACATTTGTAGCTTTCCAGTTTCTTGTGTATATCATATATGACATGCATGAATACAACTCAAAACAATCTCATCTATGTATAAACCTTCTAGGTCGTCGAGGATCAGATGTCTGATGATGTAAATATGACTTTCACACGAAGAACTGGTGAAATACTCCATTGTACTGGCGTCTTATCGTACTGCGCAGGATCAGACAGATAAAGACTCTCATAGAAAAGGATTACGCACTCACCAAGGGCGTCAATGGTGGGAAATTCTCCAGAGGTATTGCATATGGAAATCCTCAGAAAAAACCGTTTGAAAATGTTTTTGGGAAAGGTTTCGTGCGAAACCTTTTCTACGGAACCTTGAGATTTTTTCCAGGAATGGTTTCGTACGAAACCTGATGTGCGAAACCTTTTTTATCATCGATCATGTAAAGGGTCGATACGAAACTTTTTTGCGACCAAACCATGTGAGGTTTAGCGATTGTGCCCGCCGACCGATTGCTTTTTTGGTTTGGTAAAACACCTTTTTTTTTTTCAGTGTACATGAAAGATTTATTTTGATTATGTAAATTTTGTTTTCAACAATGCTAAATGCCACGAAGTCAGTTTTCATTGATTGTTTTGCACCATTTCACGTCTTTTAATAAATGAAACACAAGATTCTAATAAGTTTCACGATGTAGTTTGCTGAGAGCTTCATGCAGCATCTCCCAGTGTGTTCGTTTCATTCTTCCCAAGTCTTATTCGATGATAGATAAAAGAAACAAGAAAAAATGATCGTTTGGCAACCTGAAAAACGAGTCCCATGATCTTTTATTTCGTTTTGAAGCCATAAAATATAAAATTGAGCTACGGTTTACCGCAGGGGTGACGTTAACTTGAACACTTAAAGATAAGTTAAACTACCACTCCTAAAATATATATCTGTTTTTTTTTGTGTTGAAGAGTGAGTTAGAATACTCAGTATCTTTTACATAAATAGAATGCCAACATCCTCACCGAGGTGCTCTAACAGTTTTTTTTTAAATTCATTTTGATGAATTAATTACCCCATGGCATTTTAGTAAATAAGAAAAAGTGGAAAAACCTTCGAAAACAAGGCGTTTAGCTTATTGGAAAAGCTAAGCCACTTTTCGATATGCCCAAACAGATGGCTTTAAAGACAATCATCAAATCTACGAAAACGCTGTAATATCTTACTTTAAAACACCCGTAGTTCTGTTAACAGATAACTGCCGATTAGTTTCTTACAATACAATAACCATGACATACATATGCGAGCATTTACAACGAAGAGCAAAAACAGTACCCGATTTATTATTTGGCTGTGGAGGATAGTATTTGATGTAATGCGTGCTATATGTTATATCGTTCCACAGGATTTTACTCTGTGCTTTATTCTGCAATCAATTATGAAATGAATGGAACTACATTGTTCTAGTTCTTCAGCATCGGTTTTCTTTTGCTAAAATACATATTGCTCATATAACTTGCCTGAAAATCTATTTTATTGTTTAATTGATGCACATTCATATTCTCTCTTACTAGAATTATTTTCCACGATTTGGTTCCGATGATAACAACAAGTAACGCTCGTCGTTAGACTCGCTTAGCTCTTTGTCATAGTTTTAATGCATTATTGTGTATATGAACAACAGATACGTTACTTCAGAGTTCGCTTATGAAGATCAATAATTAATTATTAGGTCACCAGAGATTGATGAGAATACTTCATTCACTATACTTCTACACTTGACTATATCCGATATCATATGGTTATACATGTTTTTTCCGAGAATGGGTACCCTTTGTTTCAAATATTTTTTTTTTGTAATTCTCAAACAACTAACACCAGAATCGAGTTCCTCCACCCAAAAAACCCTTTGGTCAATTTTTAGAAAAAAAAATTTTGTCCGTAAAAAAGTGGTCCCTTGTCTAAAAAAATTTGTACAAAAAAAATTCGAAGAGCGAGCATCAGATTCGACGTCTCTGCAATGAAGTACGCCTGAAAATATCTTTTCCAAAAAATCGATTTTCGATGTGTTTTTTACCCTGCTGACGTACAAGCAAGCAAACAATTTATGTTTCTAAGATTCTTCTCTACGAGAAAGAGAACAAGTATACATTGCAATATGATTACACTAGATCACTATACAGTACTAATTTTGTTATTTCAAAACATGTTCTTCTTTCATCTCATTTAATTCCAACTGTTAAAGCTTGGCTACTGCTTGATAAAGTGGATAACATGTTTTCTAACTGTTGATCAAATGATAATTCTAGTTAACCCATTCTTGGTTGTAATTGTTGAACTTGTTCTTGTAATTCAATCTTTTCACGCTGTAACGTAACAATTTGCTGCCTTAAAGCTGTTATATCAATATCGTCACGATGTGGAAAATTCTAAAAGAGAAGTAGAAATACCCCAGGTTGATCATTCCGGGGACCGGAAACTTTGCTTGAATTTTCAGTGGCAAGGAAGTCGTCAAAACAAACTTAACCGACCGGGCCACAATCAACTGGAACAATGTGAAGAATATTAATACAATGGTCTCATACATGTAGTGTCTCACCATGCAGTGTACCGGGTTCACGAGGTGGCTCAGCCATCGAGGTTTTGCTTTAAATTCTCTATAGTTTTTAGTACAGATAAGATTATAGTGGTATTAGCGATTCATACAAAAAAAAGCATAACCAAGCTCGTAATGGATGATAATGAATTAAAAATTCGTTTCGAGCTGTTTATGTACATAATATAGCACAATGACCAACATACAGTTTCAAAGAAACCAATAAAACTGCGAACATGAAGAGGATTTTCCCATAAAACAAATATAATACCATTCAAGATCTAGCAGCTTGCAGTAAAATAATGATAATACCGGTAATGGATGTTTTTCAAGCTCTCTAATTCATTTTGACCCGACTTTTATTTGCGGAAAGCTATAGATGCCGGTAGTGTGTTTTCTTTGTATAGACACTTGCTCGAATTGATTGAAATTTGTTAAAACACTATTTTATGATAATAAACTTGAACAAAAGTTAATAAAAATCAAAATAAATGTGCGAAGAGAGCTATTTTTTACATAGACTACCTTTATCCGCCCATCCTTGCTCTATCTTGTTATGACAGATGTGAGCGATATGTGGTAGAATTTTCTGCATCTTTTATATCATTTTCGATCATTTTAGTACATCAGGTTCCAAAACAGTAATGATTTCGTATCTATTAATTCCCAATCATCCTTACTGCTATGGTATAAAAGCAAATATTCATAAGCATGACTTTTGATTTTTTTCCTTCGATCGACTAAAACATGAATAAAAAATTTGATCAGTTGAAAGAGCAACAGAGAAGTATATGAGCGTAGATATGGAGCGACGTTTCTTCTCTTATCACATTTACCCCTCAGATCCTATAGACAGTACGTTAGAAAACAAATTCCGATTATGACATTCCTATTGCGAAGATATGCCGGGAGCCAATATAAGATAAAGTTAAGATCAGATTTCGAATAACGATTCATATTTCAAGAATAATGTTTGATCAAGAAAAGAATTTTTATTAAAAAGAATTATAATTTTCAACAATAAACAAAAGTGACATAAACTGTTTGGCTTTCGTATGTTCAGCTCCAAACGTTGCTTGAACAATTCGTTGTGCTTCGCTATAATACTTCTTCGCTTCATCCAGTTTCACTTGTTTATCGATAGCTTCGCCTGTTTTACCATTAGATTCCGCGACAAGTTTCATACAGACATCACCGAGATTCGCATACACATCACAAACTTCAATGTGTCCACTTCCCAATGCAGATAATAAGATTTGTAAAGCGTCTTTCATATGCCCATAAGCTGTCTGATATTCCTCTAGCATTGCATAAGCTAAACCGAGAGAATTAAGAAACATTCCGTACTTGTAATGTTTTGTACTAAATTCTTTCTTTATGATAACTAGTGCACGATTAATATAATCGATGGCTTCTTTGTAATTCTCTAAACGAAAATCAACAATCGAAAAAGAGAAAGATATTTTCATTCAAACAAACCGAGTTGATGTTGAACTTGACCAATATTATGTAGGATCTCTGCCGCTTCGGAATGTTCTGAGCCGAGTGTTTTTTCAATCGCTGTCAAAGCACGTTGATACAATTTTAACGCTTCTTGAAATCGATTTCGTTTTCGATCTAAATCAGCTAGGTTGTTGTAATAGATTCCTAGTTTATAATGTTCTTGATCGTGCCCAAATGTATCGTATACTATTTGAATAGCACGTTTATAACATATCTCAGCACCCGAATAATCAGCGCGTTTTTTCAAAACTAAACCCATCGAATTGAGAACTTCAGCAATCTCGATATGATTCGGTCCGAAAGATTTTTCCAGTGAACTCAAAGCTTCTTTATAAGTCGCTTCTGCAGTAGTGAAATCACTTTGCTGCTATGAAAGAAAACAAATAAGACATATTTCTTTCAATAAAAAGAATGCATACTTTTCGATAGATATCTCCGATGTTTGTTAGATAAATTCCTATCGATGAATGTTCCGGTCCGTAATAGTGTTTAGCAATTTTAATCGCTTGCTTGAGATAATCGAGAGCTTCATTGTATTTCCCTTCTTTCTTCGACAACATGCCAAGATTATTCATAATCTCAGCGATTGATGGATGATTCTGTCCATAGAGCGATTCCATTCGCTCAAGAGATTTGAGATACAGCTCTCGAGCTTCATTATAATTTCCTTTTTTCCGATGAATATCTTAAAAAATCATTTCACAATTCTTCATTTCACTTGACCAAGAACGTGTTGGTTCTTTACCTGCGAGATTAGATATAATATCAGACCAGAGATCTGACTGGGTATCAACTATGTCAAGTGCGCTGTTATACGCTGCAATAGCTTGATCATACTTTCAAACAAAAGACGAAAGATAAGAAGAAATAAACACAAAGAATTCCTTTACTTCGGAACATTTTTTTGCAACAAGACCAAACGCATTGAGAATTTCTGCTTTTGTTTGAGATTTTTCAGCATTATTTTGTACAAGATCAAGAGCATGTTGAAAGGCATCTTTTGCGTGGTTGTACTGAGCTTTTTTCAGGTATAAATGACCAGTTGCTAAAAGAATTTCGATACGTTCAACGTTCGAAGTTGCTCGATTATAAGCTTGTGTATACAATTGAAATGCTTCGTCGTAATGATTTTCATCGCGTTCGAGTTGAGCTTGAAGAAGAATCGTTTCTGGTAAACGCTTTGTATCTTTGATTAATTTTAAACACTCTCGTGCATGTTTCAATTCATGTTCAGCGTAAAATGACTTTGCTAAATCGTAAAACATGCGATCAGTTGTTTGATTCTTCTTCGATCTGTATCTTGTGAGTAGAACTTGTAGTTCTTCGACTTTTTTCCGATGCTTCGAATCGAGCTTCTCCGGAGAGTATTGGCATGTTTGTTTGTGTATGATTAAGTCGACTCGTGGCACTTTTGCGGGACAGCCTTGTAGTTTATGTGGACAATCAAATTGTAAATTATCAACGAAACGTTGAATAACAACATTATTCATCAAATTTTCTTCGGTTAAAGTTGTTGATCGACATCGAGGACAGTTCTTTGTCGCTGTTTGAAGCCACGATTGTATACATGTTAGACAAAACAGCTGATGACAACAAGGCGTTTCACGTACATCGGTCAAATAATCACAGCAGATACAACATTCAATCAACAACTGAATATCTCGTTGCGTTGCCGTCATTGTAAATGTTTTATGATGAAAAAATAAGATTCGATGTCGAACGTTTTATATTATGTTCTCAAGTTGCCCGACGTTCTTTTCTCTTGACTGCTCGACATCTTCCTAGCGTAAGAACAAACGACATTCGATGAATAACAATTACATCAGATATGTACTCATTCATGAAAGTAATGCGCACTTATTCTTCAAGGTAACTACACATTGGAATGTTTTCGTACAAAAACAAACGACGTGGCTCGATTTCATCATTTTGACTCAATGACATTGAATGCAAAACATGATGAGTCAACCTAACAACAGTACATTAGTCACCGCTTCGTTCTCTACTCTGTCATTTTGTCGATAAAATGACCTGAAGTTCATTGAGCTATTTTGCATTATACACAGCAATGACCTTTATTGAATTAAACATGAATTATGATTTGTTAAAGTAGAGACAAGCACGCGCAAATATTAATCTCTATCTTCATTCTAATTAATCTTTTTCTTTCTCTTTTATACACTTCGTCCAAAGGCCATCGGTAAATAAAAAAATACGCAGAAAAGGCGAATGTCAATATACGACGAAACAGACATATATACATTGAAGATCATATTATTGAATATATATATATTTATGTTGTCAAATCTCCTCTCTCTATTTATAATTAGATTTATGCGCATATATATTTATATAAACGAAGGTGGCATTGGCTATCGTCGTCTTCTTGGACATATCGACATCTGTTGCTTGCTTTCTTGTTTAAATATTAAAAAATATATACATATACATATATGTATATGGATGTATGTGTATGAGAAGCAGCAACAGATTTGCAAATGACCGATGAAAAAGAAAAGCGAGAGAGAGGAAAAAAAGTTGACCATTGAACATATACGCGATAGAGAACAGATTATTATTTCTTCTTCTTATTTCCAAAAGAAAATTTTTTTCGCATCAGGATATGTATTTAAAGGAGAAAAAAAAAGAGGAGACAGAAGCTCATGCTGTTTCCTCGATGTAGATCTACGAAACGGCAACATATGGACAAAGTCATCAGTAAAATATAATTAGGAATTTGTACAAATGACGATGATTAAGATGATCGTTTTGAAGGCTTGTTAACATATAAAACAAGAGCGAGAGAGAGAAAGGACGTGCATTTCTAACAAGACAAAAAAATGAGGAAAGAAATTTTTCTCTTCTTTTCTCTTTCTCAAATAATGTGCACAAGCATGTTAATCTTTTGCTGAGCATTTTATTTCGTTTATCCCTCATTTTTGTATTTGATGATGAACCTTTTTTTCTTTTTCTCCTCCTCTTTATTTCGAATGTTCAACATAATTATTCAACATTTCTATCTAAAGAACACGAATTGATTCGAATACGTTTCTTACAACAAGCGAGGTAAGATAGTGATGACATTTAAGAAGATATTCAACTAGATATGATACTAAAATATAAATACAATTTTGCTGCGACGTGTATATGTATATATCAATTCATAAAGCCTTGTATCAACATTATTAGCGTTTGTGCATGCATATACTATTCATGGATTATAGTTCGCGTGCGCATTTGCTTCGTCTCGAAGAACAATAACTGTAATATTATTGCGAATAGTCAGAATCTAGGAGGAGAAATACAGGAGCACAAGACTTTTCTTTCTTAATTGTATATTTAGCAAAGAGGTAAGAATGCGAATATTTAACAATAAAATTTTATTAATTCTCTTATCCGATTAAGTGATATCATATCTTTACTCGGTTATAAAAGACTTTTTTTTTCTTTGAAAAAATAATCGAATTGTGTTTCTTATATATACATATAGAAATGTAAAACATATTTCGATGATTTAATAAATCGATTATCTATCATCTCTCTTCTGGCTGATTTATATGTTTTTATGAGTTTCTCTTTCTGTCTATATCTTTCTTTCTCGTCTTATTATGATGAAGAATTATATATCTTTCTCTCTATCAACGTTGTTGTCATCTCGTTGCAATACCATAATCATAAATGTCTGTATAGATTGAGAGTATGCTCATATTTGCTTTCATAAATTCGCTCGGTTGGAATAGAAGGCATATGGCTATAAACGACTTTCTTTTTCTCCCTCTTTCTTTCTGCTGTTGCTGTTGCTGCTGATGATGTCCAGTGATTTCTATTCAAGTAAATTCTCTTAGTCTGAGTACGTGTATGCATTTGTAGTATTATATCGCATTAGCAGATATTAGACTGCTATTATCTATTTTATATGTTGATTAATCTTCTTTAGCTTTTTTTGCTTTTCTTTTCCCTTCTTTCTCTTTTTATTATTATTAAGAGAATCGAGATACGTTCGTGTATCGATATTTTAATCGAAAACAAACTTTCCTACGTTGTAGGATTGGGTGTTTGAGATAGGAGAAGAAGAAGAAGGAGAAGAAGGAGAAAAAGCGATTGTTGGCTTATATTCATAGATATTATTGTTTCTTTGCGTCCGTCCGTTTATATGCCCGTTCTAGAAGGCGAAACACGCAATCAAAATAATATGTGCATAGATAGAGAACATTGGTATAAAAAAAAANAGTCATCGCTTCGTTCTCTACTCTGTCATTTTGTCGATAAAATGACCTGAAGTTCATTGAGCTATTTTGCATTATACACAGCAATGACCTTTATTGAATTAAACATGAATTATGATTTGTTAAAGTAGAGACAAGCACGCGCAAATATTAATCTCTATCTTCATTCTAATTAATCTTTTTCTTTCTCTTTTATACGCTTCGTCCAAAGGCCATCGGTAAATAAAAAAATACGCAGAAAAGGCGAATGTCAATATACGATGAAACAGACATATATACATTGAAGATCATATTATTGAATATATATATATATATATATTTATGTTGTCAAATCTCCTCTCTCTATTTATAATTAGATTTATGCGCATACATATATATATATTTATATAAACGAAGGTGGTATTGGCTATCGTCGTCTTCTTGGACATATCGACATCTGTTGCTTGCTTTCTTGTTTAAATATTAAAAAATATATACATATATATATATATATGGATGCATGTGTATGAGAAGCAGCAACAGATTTGCAAATGACCGATGAAAAAGAAAAGCGAGAGAGAGGAAAAAAAAAGTTGACCATTGAACATATACGCGATAGAGAACAGATTATTATTTCTTCTTCTTATTTCCAAAAGAAAATTTTTTTCGCATCAGGGTATGTATTTAAAGGAGAAAAAAAAGAGGAGACAGAAGCTCATGCTGTTTCCTCGATGTAGATCTACGAAACGGCAACATATGGACAAAGTCATCAGTAAAATATAATTAGGAATTTGTACAAATGACGATGATTAAGATGATCGTTTTGAAGGCTTGTTAACATATAAAACAAGAACGGGAGAGAGAGAGAGAGAGAGAGAAAGGACGTGCATTTCTAACAAGACAAAAAAAATGAGAAAAGAAATTTTTCTCTTCTTTTCTCTTTCTCAAATAATGTGCACAAGCATGTTAATCTTTTGCTGAGCATTTTATTTCGTTTATCCCTCATTTTTGTATTTGATGATGAGCCTTTTTGCTTTTTCTCCTCCTCTCTATTTCGAATGTTCAATATAATTATTCAACATTTCTATCTAAAGAACACGAATTGATTCGAATACATTTCTTATAACAAGCAAAGTAAGATAGTGATGACATTTAAGAAGATATTCAACTAGATATGATACTAAAATATAAATACAATTTTGCTACGACGTGTATATGTATATATCAATTCATAAAGCCTTGTATCAACATTATTAGCGTTTGTGCATGCATATACTATTCATGGATTATAGTTCGCGTGCGCATTTGCTTCGTCTCGAAGAACAATAACTGTAATATTATTGCGAATAGTCAAAATCTAGGAGGAGAAATACAGGAGCACAAAACTTTTCTTTCTTAATTGTATATTTAGCAAAGAGGTAAGAATGCGAATATTTAACAATAAAATTTTATTAATTCTCTTATCCGATTAAGTGATATCATATCTTTCCTCAGTTATAAAAGATTTTTTTTTTCTTTAAAAAAAATAATCGAATTGTGTTTCTTATATATACATATAAAAATGTGAAACATATTTCGATGATTTAATAAATCGATTATCTATCATTTCTCTTCGGACTGATTTATATGTTTTTATGAGTTTCTCTTTCTGTCTATATCTTTCTTTCTCGTCTTCTTATGATGAAGAATTATATATCTTTCTCTCTATCGACGTTGTTGTCATCTCGTTGCAATACCATAATCATAAATGTCTGTATAGATTGAGAGTATGCTCATATTTGCTTTCATAAATTCGCTCGGTTGGAATAGAAGGCATATGGCTATAAACGAC